ATCCCATACAGCCCAGAGTCGGAAACTTAAGAGAGTTTAGATGAACGCGAAACCAGTTTCGACCCAATAATCAAACAAGATATGTACTATTATTTTATAATAAAACAGAAAAATACCTAAAACCTTTACATTTGTAATTAAAACCCAGTTTCGTTTTGCAAAACCATTTTTTAAGTTTACATACCCCTCCCCTCCTCTTAATAGCTCCGTCTACCACCTGCCACCTGTGTACGCTAGGCGGAATTACTTAAACTATTGTTGCAGGTGCTGATGCTCTGATTGGGTGAACTTATATGCTTGGTGAATTATGATTGGTCAGAATAGGATTGTAGTATTGATTTATATTCACATTTTAGTTTATTCTATTTACGCAAGGAGTCTCTGATATCAATTAAATTATTGAATACAGTCAATAAATCATCAATCAGAATTGAATATATTTTAATTATACTTTGAACTATGGGTTTATAAATATTATTAAAGAAGAAAGATAATATTAGAAACATAACATTTAAAAAAAAAAAACACCCTGTAAGTTCCATATGAACACATGTTTCAAAAACCTTGTTCTAATGATGTGAGAGATGGCGAATCCTCCTAGACGACTTGTGAGACTTTTTGTCGGATTGTTATCCAACGTTAGATGTTCCAGTTAATGCTGGTTTGGGATACTATCAGGAATGAAATCCTGGGGTGTACTTGTAGGGGAAGGGAGGATTTAGTACAAATTTTCAAAAAACTAACATTTTATTATGAAATCTAGTTAATTAGCGAGAAGCGTACACATGTTATTTTTTGCACGATATGACAAATTATACATTTTTGAAAAGCCCTTGACCGAGCAAATTGAAATATGTAAATGGTATCGATAAATGTTTTGTCCTTTATGATGAAGAGGATAGTGTCTTGTTTCTATTCAAGATAAACTAAAATTGTGAATTCTCTTTCAAGGCGTCTGTGCAAAAATCTGAGCAAAACTTCTTTGCAGAAATTGTGCGATCTGCTTTCTTTTATTATGGACTTTCCAAAGAGCTATAAAATGTTGAAATCCAATGACTGGAAGTATGTCTAAATAAAGATTTAGTCTGGTAAAATATATGGCATTCAGGCAGTATGCCTGAGGACTCAGGCAACAGATACATAAGTCCAGCTTTTATTCTAAAATGAGGGGGTTATTGATTATCATAAAATAATTCTTATCAGATATATATGACCATGAATTAAAAATCAAATTTTGAGAGTTTTTGCATAAATCGCTTGGATAGTGAACTTTATAGCGATACTATCCCATTTGAACTACTCCCGTTTGAACTATAGTTCATTTGAACTGTTGCTCGTTTGAACTACTCCAAGTGGTACCACATAAATAGTTGAAATGAACTTTAAAGTTCAAACGATTTTATTTAATACTCTTTTAAACTATTTTTTAGTTCATTTGAACTATTGTTCATTTTGCACTATAATTATACGAACAAAAAAATAGTTCAAATGGACATAAAAATAACGTTCAAATGGATCCAATAAATAGTTCAAATGGGCAAAAATAGCTCAAATGGTAAAAAAATAGTTAAAAATGAACAAAAAATAGTTCAAATGAACAAAAATTAGTTGAAATGAACAAAAGAATAGTTCAAATGAACAGAAAAATAGTTGAAAAGAAAGAAAAAAAATATTTCAAAGGGACAAAAAGATAGTTCAAATGGACAAAAAATAGTTCAAATTGATATTTAATTAAGTATATAGCATGTTTAAGTAGGATTGAATATTGAATATAGCCACTTAACGCTCGGCCCAGAAATATTTAACCTCTGTCTGCCAAGACGACCCACCCCCGGGCTCCCCCCCCCACCCTCCCCCTTCTATTAATTTTGTACATGGATCTCATATGTATCACATTGATATTATTGGTTAGGACCCAGCGGCCTCTAGCCTGCCCTAGCCGCAGCGATCGGCCCAGAATGTTTTATTCTTACCTAACCCTAAGTATGCATGCACATCCCAAGTAACAAAAGTGAGGAATTTCTCCCGATTCTCCAACCCTGGTGACTTTTTTGAAGAATTTCCGAGGAATTTCTCGAGAGTCATTTCCTGTAACTGATTCCTCGGAAATTCTTGGGAAATTCCCCAGAATTGGTCCCCAAGATGAGAGATTTTTGTGGGATCACAGTTTTGAGAAATTCCCCAAAAATTTTCCCTACAAAATTCCTCAGAATTTCTCCGGAAAACTTTTCTGGAAATTCCTAAGAAATTCTTAGGACTTGGTCACCATGTATACAGATTTTTAGGGGAATTTATACAGAGAATTAGTTTCGAGAAATTCCTGGGAATTTCTCCAGAATTTCATCACAAGAAAATCCTGAGAATTTCTCCTGATTACTTCTCCGGAAATTTCTGAGAAATTCTTAAGACTTGGTCATTAATGTGTTTATAGATTTTGAGGGGAATTTAATGAAAGAAATATTTTCGAGAAATTCCCCTGAATGCTTCTCCGGAAATTCCTTAGAAATTCTTTGGACTTTGTCACCAAGTTTACGGATTTTTAGGGGAATTGAATAAGAGCATAAGTTTTGAGAAATTCCTGAGAATTTCTCTGGAATTTTTCTCAAGAAATTCTCAGGACTTTTCACAGAATTTTCAAGTTCCGTTTTTCACCAATATGTGTCTCTGAGGTTCTCTTCTATTATGCACTGCCCTCACTAAATCTTTTTTTCTTTGCATCCTTATTGATAATAAATGATAACCATCTTTTTAAAAAATATTTTTTTTAATTTTTTTAATTTTTTTATTTTTTCTTGACATTTCAGTTGTCTGAATAAACAAAACACATGACAAATTCATTAAGATCAAAAACGACAATAACATTCTGACTTAAGAAGATGGTTATACTTCTAAAAAGTTGGAGGGGCAATATAGTTGTTAAGTTATTCACTACTATTGGGCCTAAGTCCTGGTTAGTGAATTTACTCAGAAATATCTAGGGGTAGTAAGGGTAGTTAAACCCAACTACCCCAACTACTAATATTTCCTAGTAGCCGCCTTGATAATATTTCTGGTTCCCACCTTGATAATATTTCTGGTTCCCCACCTTGATAATATTTCTGGTTCCCAACTTGATAATATTTCTGGTTCCCCACCTTGATAATATTTTGCGAATGGTTCTCTCTTCTAGTTTAACAATGGAACCAAGCTGTAGAACCTCGTTGCCGTTATGATCTATAAAATCTAGAACCTAAACAAATATAAAATCTAGAATCTAAACAAATATAAAATCTAGAACCTAAACAAATATAAAATCTAGAACCTAAACAAATATAAAATCTAGAACCTAAACAAATAAAAATAATGAAAACTATCTTTACGAGATTGTGAGTATAATATCAAGTGACCCTTCATGCAAAAATAGTATTACCCGATTTACTTAACAGCTTTGTCTTATTAATTAGATATTCATGTTTTTACTTTAAACTGGTTTTTATTTGCTGTTAATCTTTGAAAGTGACTTGCGCATTTCTTGTTTTTAGGAAACAACAGAGAATTACCAAAGTTGCACAGTCCTTTTAAAGGTTTAAAGGAATACCATTTAAAATTTGTTAATTACTTTAAGAATCAGTTGAAAATTAGATAAAATTACTTAAAATAAAAAATATTTATATATATTTTTTAATGTCCTAAAATTACCATCTCCATGAGGAAAGTAGCGAGAGGGTGTTTGGAATATTTCTCAGAATCAAGAATAATCATACAAACTGTATCTATCTAAAAAAAGGATCAAATATATATATTTTTTAAATTAAACTTATTTAATCATCAGAATAAAAATTCAAAAAGATACCTTGAGACAGGAGGGAAAGAATTGTATCCCACCGTCACGTAAATCATCAAATTGGTAAAAATCTGCTGCACATATAACACCTAAAAACAAATGTGTGAATAAGCGTTTTTCTCCGGTCAAGGGAATAATCTTTTAACAATTTTTTTTTTATTTTAGCATTTTTCAAATTCTAACTCCCTTTTAATATTGTCAGGTTGTTTAGTTCAAGAAAATAAATCCAATAAATAGGAGCTGAAAAAATTGAGCCCAAACTTTTTGTTTTGGTAACTCAGAATTGAAAGATGGTTCCGAAAAAAAATTTGAATAAGAATTTTTTTTGAAATCCGCAAATGAAAAGAGGAAAATAAGCGAATGACTTTCACAAAGATCAGAAACAAAAAGCAAAGTTTATTTTCCAAAAAAAAAGATCAACCTAATACTCGGTAAAGGGAGATTTAATACTTCATTTACCCCCCCCCCCCCTCCTTTATTCAAAATTGTTGATGTTTCCCTTTAACCTGTGATAGTCCTGGGCTGTAGATCTATCCCCCCCCCCACTCCTTTATTCAAAATTGTTGATGTTTCCCTTTAACCTGTGATAGTCCTGGGCTGGAGATCTATCCGACCAGTGTGTGCAAACTCCATTAATTGTCTAAATTACTTTTTATTATAATCTTAAAGGGAGTGTTCGCTAAGAAACTAAAAATGTTTTAGGATGAAAAATGATTAGAATTTCAAGAACTGATCTTTAATATATTTAAATTAGATTGTTTTCAAAGAGAATTTTTCGTTCGAAACTTTCGCGAACATCGCAAAATTTTCGACCTTAACTTTTTTCGCAAAAATACAATCTTCTTGATGCAAAATGACAAGATTTCGATTTCAATTTTAAATTGTTTACGAAAATTTCGCGAATATAAAAAATTCTCTTCGAAAATGCATCGAAATTCGCGAAAATTTTGAACGAAACTGAACGAATTTCGTTCGTTCATTTTCGTGAATTTCATTCAACGACAATTTCGATGAAAACCATATTAAAGATATAGGGATTTGAAACAGAAGACTCAATTTCTTTTCCGCTTCAAAGCTCAATGATCACATATCGTAATTCAATTTATTTTGTTTGTTATCAAATGTTGTATTTTCTGAAATATATACAGGGATACCCAAAAAGGATGAGACTATTAGAAGACTAGACACTCATTAAATTTGATGATTCCAAGGAATGAGGTCTTCTGTATTGAATAAAGTATGATTTGGCAAAAAGGTTATTACACGTTTACAGTTGAAGAGAACCATGAATATATGAATACAGTAAAAACTCCGTGTACTCGTCTCTGAAGTCTCATTCTTTGTGGGTAACTCTGCATTTATTTTAAAATATATTTTTACCTGAAAACATCTGACTCAAACATGTCTACTCGAACAGTCACGTGACAAGGCACACTGGAATTCTAAACAAATAAACTTATTTTCTTTTCAGGACAATATCAAAGGGACCAAGAAAAAATGTTAANCCCCCCACCCTAAACCTGTTCCTGTGTACGCCCCTGTAGATTAATTAAAGTAACAGTTAGGTCACTAGATGTCGCCTTTTCAAGATTTATAAGTATTTTGTTCCCAATAACCCTGAGGCAGAAGACCGATGGTGTTATGCGTAGTCGGCGTAGAACAAGCTCTCTCACTGTAGAATTACACAAGACAATTACCATTTTTTGAGACACATAAAATACTTTTCTTCACGATATTTTTTCGCACAGCATAAAACATTTTCAATTTTAGTTATAGGGAACTTTCTCAACAGTTTTGAATTACATGATAGAGAAAAGATGTATGAAGGATGCATAAATGAATGTCACCACGAATCCGTATGTTTCTCTCTCCTTGTGTTGTTAATTAACTCAAGAAACTAGAGATTCTGATTGTTAAGCTTTAATTACATCATGACTTCTGTGGTTCATTTAAACACACTGTTTTATAACGTGAGTCCGGAGTCCGAATTTAATGAATTTAAGCCGGCCAAAATCTTGAAACATTGAATACAATTTTAAGTGGAACCAACTGTATTTGAGCCGCGTCTCAAATTTAAGCCGCGGCTCAAATATTTTTAATTTGGCCTCAGGTAGTTTTTCTGGCTGGAAAAGTGTTTAATTAATTTTCTTAGTTGTAAATTGGACATGCCAATCTAGCAATAGAGAGTACCTTGAAGTCTCGTATACGCTAATGTTATCCGTAATCTTATCCGCTAATGTTATCTGTAATCTTATCTGCTAATATGATCAGTAATCTTATCTGCTAAGGTTATCCGTAATCCTATCCGCTAATGTTATCTGTAATCTTATTTGCTAATATGATCCGTAATCTTATCTGTTAAGGTTATCCGTAATCTTATCTTCTAAGTTTATCCGTAATCTTATCCGCTAATGTTATCCATAATCATATCCGCTTATGTTATCCGTAATCTTATCCGCTAATGTTATCCTTAATTTTATCCGCTAATGTTCTTGTTCGGGGTTTTCACTCATGAGGATTGTAAATAAACACTTCTAATCCTACAGGCTTCAAAACCACTTTGTGGAGAGGAACAGAAACCAATAATGGAACTTTTTTTTGTAAAAACATTATGTTACTGGTAAGAAACTTTAGGCTTTTACGGTTAAGGAAAACCAAAAGAATTGAGTCTTTGCCACAAATTCAAATTTTCGAATCGCTATATCCTCGCAACCTGATGGTGCAAACCTTGATATTTTATCTAACAGAATTTAAAGTTTGAAATAGCTACTTTCTTTCATAAAGAAAATAAGATGCGGGATTAAAAAATAAGATTTTGTGGCAAAAAATCTTCATTCCTTGAAATAATTCGAAAAAATTAATTTGAGCAGTTTTATTCTAATTCGTTCATAAACCTATTTTTTACAAAACAGTTTTCAAAAATAATGTAGTTTTTAAAAGTTTAAAAACTTTCAAAGCTTTTCAAAACTACTACCACTAACATGTTAATATTCCAGGTTCCATGGGCATCTTTTTTTTCGAACAAACGAAATTTTGTCGTGGAAAAAGGTGTTGTTCAGAAAAAAACGAACGATAGACGAACGATGGATCGTTTTCATAGAAATACAAAATCATCGTTTTTGAAAACGAAAAATAAAAACAACGAATTAAAATCGTTCGAACCAATTTAAAAAAAAACGATCGTTTTTTACTAAACGAACAAATTTTAATCCTACATACCTGATAAGGACTGCCCAGTAAAGGCGTGGAGATACGTTTAATTAGACGAGCAGTTGCAACATTCTTACGAGCTCTTAATCTATCCGTTAATCCTGGAGATCTCTTCTCAGTGTTCCTAGAGATATAATATAGAGATATATAGAGATATATAGAGAATCTTAGATATGCACACAATTATGCTCTTATTTCACTATGTAGTACGTTATTGTATTTATTTTTGAAGTATCTGAATCTAGAAAATAACCCAATTTCCTTGAATCTTTTTTTGGAAAATAATGAAGAATGTGTTATGATTTCAACATATTAAATATCTCCGTCAATTGGAAAAGACTGAAAACAACCCACTCGCATTTCTGGTAAATGCGGGTGGGTTGTTTTCATTCATAAATGCCACGTGAACCTAAGACGTCACTATCCTTGTATATTTATATTTATATATCTGAAGCACTTAAAATATTTATTTTGACATTTCTCTGTAAAAACTCAATGCGTTCTCACGGTGGAACAAAAATTTGCTTTTATTATAATTAAATCTCAAAATAGTCTTTAATAAATGTTTGTTATAAATAAATAAAGTGGTTCTATCAAAGTTTTATGAGATTCTTTAAAAAATATAAAAGTTTTAAAACATGGAATGGTTTGATCTTACCTAGGGGGTTCTTGGTAGAGTTGGCGGTAAAACACAGGACTCCTTGCAGCCAGCACAGCTCTAACAGCACATACCAACTCCTTTATAAAAGTACTCCATATATGAATGGAAAGAATGACTCCTAGGTTTTACAGTATTACTATAGAAACTACTCCATAATATTGGATATCATCTCTGAGATAGATAACTCCATATAAGATTAGATAGGAGGACTCATGTAATACGTAACATGATTTGCCTCAAATCATGTGATGATATACATATAGATAACGGCCTAGGAATTGTAAGTATGTCTATTGATTTAACGTGTAACCTATAAATATTAAATAAAGTTAGTTAGAATCAGAACTCCACTTTGATTACAGTGTGGAGTAATGTTTCCCGTTGAATCTTCGGGTTGAGATCATGCCTCATTTAGGGTAGAGATCGGCTAAAAGGCTTGTAGATAGCCAATAGATTGTGTCCAGGTGTGGCATTATAGAGCGGAAGTAATAGCTAAGCTGGTGTCTTTGTGTGGCATTTAGAGCGGAAGTAATAGCTTGTTGAAAGCTACGCTTGTGTCCCTGTGTGGCATTTAGAACGGAAGTAATAGCTTGTTGATAGCTACGCTTGTGCCCCTGTGTGGAATTTAGAGCCTGAGTAATAGCTATATTTATAAGCTACGCTTGTGTCCCTGTGTGGCATTCAGAGCTAGGTGGGTTGTGTTCTGGTTAGCTTGAATAGTGGACTAGTTGAGCCTGGACTGATACAGTTTGTGGGACGAACTTAAAGAGTATGGCATTTACTTACTACAACTCATACTATTTAATTTACAACTTTTACAGCATATATTAAATCCAATACAGAGAACTCCATCTATAAATTGGTAGAAAACCCCGTAGATTGTGAACGGAAAGCTCTGAAAATACTACATACTAAAACATTAACTATGCCAAAGAACTCCATAAATATATAAGTACTGAGCAGTAAAACTCCTCAACCCAGAAAAGCTTTTTTTTTGCGCAGAATTACTACAGAAAGTACTCCATAGTAGTAGGTAAAACCACTCCTTGATTTTATAGGGAAAATAAAGGACTCCTTTAAATTGTTAAATACATGAACAATTTCTTGAAGATTTTAATTTTATTGTGTACCTTTTCCACTCCGACCATGAAGGTTACATCACACAATTCAGGGAGATGAGATAGAAATCCGAGATCAGCCATCAAACCCGTCTCATCCTAATATAGATACACATCAAACCCATCTCATCCTAATATAGATACACATCAAACCCGTCTCATCCTAATATAGATACACATCAAACCC